TATATATATATATAATATATTAATATATTAATACATTATAATATATATTTATAAATAACTTATATATTTGTGATTTATGTACTATTCTATCTTTTAACGTGAGAAACATTATCTCACCTAGTTGTAGCGTACTCGCGTAGCCCAGCATGTAAGTGCATCGCATTAAAAGTACCAATACAACCTCGTAATCTCATATCTTTTCCTATTGTCCACGTCACAAATAAAGGGCTGAAAAGACGTATCTGTATTAAAAATCTCATGTTCAAATACATTTTTTTCTTATTTTTATTAGACAGCGAACCATCAGGGATGGAAAGAGGAAAGCAAAATGTGCCAGAGTACATAAATTCTTTTCTATTTAGTAAGATTTCAGTCTTGTACAGGTATAATACAAAATAAATAAATACGAGATTCTTTCACGAAGTATAATAAAAATAAATATAATACAAAAGCAACAACAAAAACAATTTTTATTATCTTTCGCTATAAATTTTTCCAAGGATAAAATAATATATATAATGTGAGAATATTTAGATAAACAAAAGCGATTTTCATAAATAACGTTTCTCCAAATATGCCGTAGCAACAAACGTAGCGTCCTAAGATGGCCTACATAGTTGGCATAGCATTGTACAATGGGGGAAATAGAAGCACGCCGCGATAATGCGTGCATCGCGCGCCGATAGATACCTAATCCGCACACGCGAGGACCAAACAATGCACCAACAATGCAGCCTAGCTGATTTAGCAGATAAATTTCTAGATCAGCGGAAAACTAAGATCAGAGATCATCGGTTCGGAATTCGAAATTCATAACACACAAACTAAATATAAAAATAAGAATCAAACATAACAATTGGTAGAATATAATATTTATTCTGTATACCTCTGTAATATCGGAATTCAATGTTATAAAAATATCACCGCAGTTTCGATCAAGCTTCGCGTGACAGAGACGACCTGTCATCGGAGACAAGTGAAAAAACAACAGCTGACGCGACGCTCGAGTGAGAAGGACAGATGGACAGACGGATGCGGAGGAGGAAGAGAGAGGGGGGAGGGAGGGGGAGAGAGAGAGACCAGAGAGAAACAGAGGGTACCGTAAAAACTACTCACAACGCTTCATTGCTGAAGTTAGGCGCCTTCGGCGGGTCCAGCTGGTGCAACTGGCAATAGAGCACGTCGAAGCAAAAAAAGCCCATCTCTGGTTGGGCGATCGTCGCGGGTTTCCTTGATTGAGGAGTACCGTGTCGTATGGCGGTACCGTCGCACGGCGACAGGCTCGGCGCCGCGCCGCCGCCACCGCCCAGCCTTTGCTTCTTCGCGCCACAGCAACCAGCAGCCATGTTCCTCTTCGAGAGGTCACCAGCGGGCACCGGCGTCCTAGCCCTTCTTCTAACACCTCGTCTACGATCTTCCTCGTCGTACCGTATCCAACGTCGACGTCGTCGCCGACGCGTGCCGGATCGCGCCCGCGCTCCGCTAGATGTCGAGCTGACGGTAGCGTGAACAGCTGTTTCATTACCCGCCATTTGTAGTACGGCGTCCGCGTCATCGCGTCATTGATAATTAGCGGTCATCCCCGCCACACGCTGTTACCACTGCGCCTCGTCGTGTTACTTGCCCGGATTGTTCTGCGGATCATGCGCGAACAAAATCAGTGGATGGTAGCGTCCTCTGAGTCGTTTTAAATTTCCTATCAGAGAGATGTCCATGATTTTTAATTTTTCTAATAAAAAGTAGTATAGGTGCGTTCCGTATCGCGCATGATGTGCATGATGCATCCATTGTCCTTATTTAACATTTGGTGAGCAACAAAGATAAACGATGCATTATGCGCATCATGCGAGTAACGGAACGCACTCTATATTGTACCAATTCATTCGTTTTGCTGCATCATTAAACATGCGAATTTTTTATGTGGAAATTGAAATAGCAAAAATTTGAGTTTAAGTGTCAGAATTTCGAAAAATTGCAGATATTGAGGATAGGGGAGGAGAGGAGAAGAATTCAAAGATGACGAGTCTAAAATGTGATCTAATATACTTGTTTGATAGAGAATAAGAATAATTAAATTAAAGGACTCTTTTAATTTAATTATTCTTATTCTCTTTTAAATAATAATAATATCAAGAATATAGAAGGGCAAATTAGAATCAAGTTCGAATATAATATATGTGTAAAACGTTAAAAATTTTTTACATTCCAATAAATTGATATAAAAATATATAAATATAATTTAAAAAACTTAATGTTACATATATTGTGTTACATTACATACATGTTTCGGCATCATAATTGTACCATCATCAGATGTTTAGCATTCGCAGAATAGAAACGCAGTAAAAAAGTCAGTATTAAACGTTATAAAGGATGTATTGAACTAATCTTATAAATATATGTAATCCGCCTCTTATGTAAATCAGATGCAACATCATAGATGGAGGGTGAAAACGAAATTGCTCGCAATCGGTTGGACGATCGGTTGATAGAAAATTTTCACGATTATCGTTATGGTCCTACATTCTTCCAACATATGATGTAAATAAGATGCGTGTCAAGTTGCTTATATCAGTCATTATACTTATGAGATCAATAAATATATGTGAAATTGTTAAAACTGTTAATCACCAAGTTAGAGATTAAAATTATATAAGTATATAAAATTACTAGTCCAAAGTCAACGATTAAAAATGTATAAATGTATAAAATTATCAGGGAATGGAAAGTTACTTTTTAAAAGTAACAAGTTACAGTTACTCGTTATCGAGTAGAAAAAGTAACAAGTTACCGTTACTAGTTACCGATTTTTAAAAGTAACTCGTTACAGTTACCATTACTTGAGAAAGTAACTTTTCGTTACTTTTCCGTTACTTTTTTCTAAATCGACGACCAACAATCACAGCCTACAGGCGTCTCTAGTCTCAAGCACATTGTAAAAAATTGTGTAAAACTATTATGCTGGATAATTTTGAGATCCACTATAATAGTTGTAAACGTCTACACATTTGTAAATTTGCAATATGCAAATAAAAATAATTTCTTGGTTTGGAACTAAGCAGATTGTGGAAGTACAATTACAATGTGTATGTGTAGCTACAGGAACAATAATATGACAATACATTTCGCACTATATATTATTATACATTTAACAACAACGCGAAAAATTTCTTTTATGTTGCGTAATATTATTAAAATTTGGATAATTACAGAAAATATTCAAAATATCCTATTTACATAATTTCCAATATAAAATAAGATATATTTACACAATAAAAACAAATTTACATAATATATTTTTGTGCAATTACATAATTTCTGTAAAACTGCATGATTTTTTATATTTACAGAACTAATCATGTAATCTATTTTACATTTATTATATGTGTAAATTTACGAAATTTTTTTACGGTGTAAGTGGCTTGTGTCGTATCGTGTCCAATCATGTGCAAAGTAACGATAAAAGTAACTGTAAAATTCGTTACCGTTACCAAAAAAATGTAACTTCGTTACCGTTACAGTTACCAAAGAAAAAAAGTAACGCAGTTACTAGTAAAGTTACCAAAAAAGTAACTTGTAACTGTAACTTCGTTACAAGTAACGAGTTACTTCCATTCCCTGAAAATTATTAGTCAGGAAGTTAAAATTAAGATGTGTAAATTTATGTGATGTGACTGCTGTGACAGTCCGATACTGACAGTCCGAAACATGTAATGTAACACAATGTATAACATTAAGTTTTTTAAATTATATTTATAAATTTTTATATCAATTTATCGGAATGTAAAAAATTTTTAACGTTTTACACATGTATTATATTCGAATTTGCCCTTCTATATTCTTGATATTATTAGAACAAGAATAGTAATTACTCTTTAATCCAATTAAAGCTGTGCGGTATATTTCAAAATTATGTTTATGTGGACTTTTTACGTATATTTTACGTACATTTACACGAATTTTTTTCACGTAGATATAAAATAATCAACGTAAAATGTGTAAATTATTATAAATTAAATAACATAAATTTAAGTAATCAATTTTATGATTGTTAATGTATTTGATTTTAGTATTGATAAATAAAAATATATAAGCAAAAAATATATAAACTATTGCAATTCAGTGCTACGATAAAGAGCAAGGTTTCGATAATCCACACCCATGCATAGATTGTTTACACAGATGATATGTAAAACATAGTTTACATTGTGTGTACGTAGATGTTATAAATTATTATATTTAACGCGTGAACTCCACTTTAATCAACATCCGATAATGTAAAGTATATTTTAACATGATAAAATGATAGTTTGATAGTTGATTGATTGCTATACGTGATTGATTTAACTTTCTTATATTTTCAAATAAAATATAGTAAGTCTTCACAACATACAGGGTCATCGAAAAGTATCGGACCCCTCTAATATCTTCAGTTAGAATGCATTTTGGAGAAAATGTCTAATAGCAAAGTTGTATGGTTTCAAGCGAGGAGTAAGATGATGACCTTGATTTTGATTTTGACCATGTCCTTTAAGGTCATTTCAAGGTCAACCATATTTTTTTAAATGAAACCCCCTACATTTTATTGCATATTTTTATAGCTTATCTCGAGAGCTTTCCAAAACACTATAATAAAACATTTTTTCATTAAGTATTTTTTGAGTTATAAAGGTTTGAAGTTAACAATTTTTTGACACAAAATGTAAAATATCTTGTAAAATATTATTTAGTTTTCAGTAATCATAACCTTAATACTTTTGTGCGCGGAATA